TCATATTCCAAACATTTCTCCAGTGCTTTTAGCTGTCCTCTAAATACATCACTTAGTGATAATAGAAGAATTATCTTAAGTACCCATTAACCTAACCCTAACCCTATAAATATTTAAAAGGCTTACTAATTTAGTTTCATGTTATTTTTGCATTATTAGCAAATTACCCATCTTACAGATGAGGAAACTGAGACTCATCAAGTGTAAGTGAATTGTCCAAGAACCCCAAAAGAAGCACACTATGTTGATTTTAAAGCAAATACCTCGCGTCAGCCACACCCCTAACCAACATATCTGATGCTGTATATCCATACGTTTCCTTTACAGCACCACTGTGACAATGGCACAAATGCCAACACTACATTTACTCCAATCCTTCCAAGCCAAATCTCAAAGAAGTGTTTCCCCTTCACTATGTTGCCTCAGTAGTTTTTCTTTTTTTTTTGAGACAGGGTCTTGCCACATAGTTCAGGCTAGCCTTAAACTCACTATGGAGTGCAGGCTGGCCTTGAGCTTGCGGCGATCCTCCTAATGCAGCTACCAAGTGCTGGGATTACAGGTGTGCACCACCATGCCCAGCAAGAGCTTTTTAATGAGCAGGAAAAAGCACAGACAACTTTTAAGCCCCATGCACGGCACTAGAGGCTGATGATGTGGCTGAGCAGAAGAAACAGACCCTACCTCCGTGAAGCTACAGGACTGCAGGAAGGCAAATACGGAGCAAGCACAGACATTGCAGAGACAAAGTTCTTTCTCTGTCAGATGAGGTTAACAGGCAGTTCTTAAACCACAGTGATACAAACCCCAGCTGGCCAAAGGCCGTGGCCAGGATGAGTAAAGCACACTTTCTCCGCTTAAGAACTTGATCACCAAAAATGCCATATGAATACATATAAAGCAAATATAAGCAACAGACATGTACATTTCCAGGCTTTAACTGGTGACAGCCTTGAGGGCAGCAAAGAGGAAACACAGATGTGCTCCTGATCTCAAGTGCTCCATCCGGCACAGCTGGTTTGGCCTTCTCATTACTCAGGGAAAAGTTTGCTTCCAGGGCCCCAGAGAGAGAAGTGAGAGGCAGATCTTCCTGCCACCTCTAGACCTTCTCTCTATCCACATCCCCCAAGGGACCCCAAGATACATCTGCCGCTGCCTTCCTGCACATCACAACCAGGGCGAGCAGCAGGGAGGAAGGAAGTGGTCAGGGAGCTCCGTCAGGCCGTGGTCCTCCCCACCCTGCTGTTCAGAGCTGCAGTCCACAGTGGCTGCCGGGGTCACTGCACTTGGAATCAGAAGGCCCCACAGCCCCACGACAGCTAACTACCTCAGACGGGTGGCGGCCCCATTCGCTTCATCTCCCTCACACAAAAGAAATGGCTCTGAAATCCAAAGCAAGCAAATACGCAAGTAAGCCCTACAGAGCATGCACCAGCGGCTGACAGGCGTCTGCACACTCGGCCGGCGGACACACAGCTCAGCCGGTACAACGCTGAGTCCCAGGAAGTTTCCATAGCCATCGTGACACCCAGCTTTTCTTGAATAGCCGGATGATCAGACAACAGGGAGCATGCAGTCCGCAGTGCAGTCTGAGTCTCTTCACACAGGGCGTGCCTGCTTTCCAGCCAGACCCCGCTACCCTATACCAGGACTCAGCAGCCCACAGCCAGCTTATACAGCCTGCCTGGTCACTGCAGGAATGTGAACCTCTGAGCCCTGACCTAAATGCAGCAATTTTTGTATTTCACACTACACTAAATGGAAAATCATGAGGCACAGAACCAAAATAACTACACAGCAAAGTTCTGAGATTTTTTTTTTCACCTCCTCACCACGGTACATAAGCCATGACCTACAAGAGCTGTAACAGGATATGAGGGTGACAGGGAAAAGGGTCAAGGAACAACACATTCTGTGTGGAATTACTGAGAGCAAGGCACAAGCATGACACCTCCACCCACAAGGCCTCACCCCGGCCAGCCACAGACAGGGTCAGCGCTCAGTGTCCTCACTCCTTGTGGCACAGGTTCAAACAGGCTCTCCCGAACACAGAAAGCAAGCGCGCACACAACTCCAGCCCTCAGGCCTCTGACTTCTCCCGTCGGGAAAGATGTCTTCCCCATTCTCTATAAGGAAACAGAGAAGACCTGATTTCCCACATGAGTTCCCCGCAAAAAGGAAACCAAGTTTCCTAAATGTGGGGAACAGGCTATGCAGCCTGAGCCTTACCATAGCTAGATACAACTTCCAGTAAGCGCAAACCTCAAACCCACTGCAACACAGGCTGGTAACTTTTTATCACCTATCACGTTAACTCAACCCTAAGACAAAATGTGAAATCCCCTCTAAAGTAGGAACTTATTTTAAAGGCGTGAGACGGGTTTCTGAGTCCTCACCACACCATGCTCAATCTTCTCAGAGCTGAACAGGACAAGCAAGCACTCTGCGCCCGCCCAACAAGAATATGAAGCCACTCTGTCTTCTGCAATCTGCTCAAGGTCTCACTGCTGCTCAGACTCACATGAATCCCCGAAATACAGACAGTGGCTTAGCCGTCAAGAAAACAGAAACCCTCGTAAAAAGTAAAGAAATCAAACTTTGTCGTTTGCATGCATATACACACATACCTTGATCCACGCTAAACCAAAGTCACATTTTTAAAATAAATTTAATTTTAAATATTATAAAAGCATCTATTTGGATATTCTTTCTGGCAAGTTAAAATTAGATGATCGGTCTAAATTTCACGTTGAAAATGTAGTTTTTTACCTTAGTCATAAAACTGCATATTAACCACAAAACCACTACTCATTACATTGGGTCTCTCCAGAGTTGAGTCAACACTCTGACATAAATATTGCTACATGAGGCAACTGTAACATTTCCAGTGTCGCTAGAGCACGCAGGACTCAGCCTGAGCACGTGGCGCCCTCTCGTGGCAGGAGCCTCCTCTTACTGGACAGAGAAAGCTCTCATGTAGAGGAAGCTCAGGTCAGAACCAATCTCAGCCCTCTCCGATCAAACAGATACGTTTTTAAGGGAAAGCTCTCAATATTCACGCTTATTTATAAATTCTACACCTCTGCTAGCATAGCAACTGTCTGTTATAAAGCCTAGACAGACAAAGCTAAATATGCACTCTCAGAAGAGCTTCCAGTTTCTCCTTGCGCCCCAGTGGCTCCTCTCAGACAACCCCTCTGGAGACAACTGAGCATTAGGGAGAACACCACAAACAGCGCAATTTTACTCAGAAACTTCTCAGTGTAACTTCTGCCCTTTAGAAGACAACCCCATTGTTATCTTCCCTTAAGAATACTTCTGCGTAATTTGAGTTTCTGTAGGCAAATGAGCCAGTAATTCCGAAGTTGGCCAGTTCACTCACTAGAAGGTTACACAGCCACAAGGCCAAGGTGCCTCTGGGGACCTTGGCAAAACCCTCACCAAGAAACGGTGCAGCTGCTACTCGACACTGAGCACAGGAAGCGCGCCAACCCAAGGGACACTTGGCACCTGCGGATCCCTACTTTCCTTCCAGACAATGCACATTTATGCACAAAGTCTGAGTGGCCCTGAAGCCTAAGAAGGTCTGTATCACGAAGAGATGAGCTTTAAAATTTCCACCCCGAAAGAAGACGAATCTGGACTACATATTAGGCTTACATAAAGACAGGAGAGGTCTGGAGTTGTTTTTGTTGTTTCATCTAGTCTTTCCACATATGTACCCCCAAAGACTAGCTTCAAAATCAAAGATATTTATAATCAATCAACTAAGGTATTCCTTAAAGGCATTGTAAGAGTTACCTCAGTATCCCTGGTGCCTACCACAAGCTGTACATATCACAGGCATCTTTTAGTGTGAAAAGAAACAAGACATTTTTTATTTCTCCCAAGTAAGGCTGAGAAAAAAAAAAATAAGTGAAAATCCTATGTTGATAGACCAGCCCATCCATGAAACGACATATTGCTAGGAAAATATAAAAACTGGTAAAACTGTGATCATATGTAAAATGTGCTAGGTATGATAACCAATTCTTTGGTCAAACATTCATCTAGATGTTGCCAAAGAAAGTATTTGCTAGATGTGATTATCATGCAAACCAGTAAACCTTCAGCCAAGCGGAGTATCCTCCACAGTGTAGGTGGGCCTCATACACCCAGCTGACGGAGGTGCCCCAAAGATGAAGGACTGGACTGCCAGACTCGACTGCAGCATCAGCTCTGCCCAGCCTGCCTTGCATACTTCACATTTACCATCTTCCTTAGTCACAATGGCCGATTTTTAAAAATAAATAGCACTCACTTCTTTCTCTAGGCAGATATAATGATAAGAATACACACAGGCACATACTTTTTTTTCTGTCGGTTGTGTTTCTCTGGAGAACCTTGACTAACACACTGTCTAAGGTTTTCAAAGACTATAACTACAAATATTAATGCACTACCCTCTGCTGTGCTGTATACTGAAATATATTCCCTAAATTAAAGTCAAAATAGTGCATCAAGTTCAATCACTAGATGAAGGATATTCTGCTAAAACGAAAATGGAGGATGAGGAAACAACGAAGAAAAACCCAATCAATATATGAAGACAGACCAACCCCATGGACATTTCTTTTAACCATTTGCCAGTCCAATTATTTAAGTACAGAATGACCACAAATTGCATACTTTGTTAATTTTTATAAGATGATCTGACAGAAATATAAAGCTGACAGTTTTATCAAGTTTATTTGATACAAAAATTGACTGCTTGAAGTAACATTGCCCGAGCTGTGCTCAAGATGCTCAGTGTGTAAACAAATACACTGTCAGAATGACGCTAGGGGTAAACTGTTAAGTGGTTAGTAACAGTGGGTCTTTTTAGTCCAATAATAGATTTCAAAGTATATTTGGCTTCATAAGATGTTAGACTTCATAGGAAAGGCTTTGTCAGAGTTTACTGAATGAAGAAGAAAATATGCTAAAAAATAAAAAGCAAAAGGAACAGAAGAAATATTAATTACCTCTTGGTTATCTTTGTTTTGGTTTGCCCAGAAAATTTTATGATAAAGCGTCTCCATTGAATTGCTAGAATCAATTCGGTCAAAACAGTGACGATCCAAGACTTCTAACGTGTGTAAAACACGACTAATAGTCACCCCTAGATATAGAAATTAAGCAGACAGTTAAAGAGGTCAAATAGAGCCAGAACAGCATAATACAAAATTATCGTCATGTGAGGCAGAGTCAGTTTTCCTCAAGGTACAGTTCTCAGGATATACTATCACAGGACTGTCAAGAAAACCAGAGTTGACACTCTCCACAGACATTTATGCCGGGCTCTAAAAGGCATAAACTGAACAATGTCCTCAAAATGCACAGAGGGCTTTGTCAAAAGAGCTCCCTTATTTACAGAGAGCATTTTACAAGGATTATAAACACGGCATAAGGCCCCACGCTCGAAAGCACTCGTTCTCTCGCTGCATTCTGTACCTGCCGCTGACTCCTGGCACTTGTCAGAAGACCAGCGAACTTCCACTGCACGGCCTCTTTCTTTTATCTGCTGTTCCACCTCATAAATCCTTGCCCGAACCTGAAAGAGAATCACTTCTAATTAACTTGAGCTTGGGAAGCTACAGCGGCTGTCTAAATCACATCAAGTAGCAAGCCCTACGGTAAATGACAATCTTCACTGCATTATAAAACCAAGCTGGCTGCCTGGGAAGAACATTTTTAAAATTTCAAAGCCGGGACTCAATGCTAGCGTTCAGTATTAAACGCACAGAACAATAAATGTTTGCAAAAACAACTTAACACACAAATTTTCTTTAGGAACCATAAGGCGAGGTGAAAATTCTAAAACATCTCTGTAAGCCATTCAACTACCTATGCAGGAAAATGAGTAGCAATGTTTTAGTAATTTTAAACACTGCTTGTTAAAATACAAAGATCATATTCTAAATATTAGTCATAATCCTAAGATTCAAGTTGCGTAAGTCCTTAAAATGAATAATGCAGCACTAACAAGAATGTAAAACAATTCCTAAATATCACAAATTACTACTATGGGAGTTAGACTTAACACAAAAGTTATTCTCTGGGTGGCAGGACACTCAGCAAGAACTGCTCAGTCAGAGGGTGACTAGAAAGAAAACAACTTCATGCACTTCTGTGTCTGAAGAGGCAAAAGAAGCACTGATGTCACCGGAGAGTGAGGGCAGAGCTGGGCATGACAGTCAAGTACCTCAGACACTAGCACTCAGGCCTTGCCCAGTACTCCCTGAGGCCTCGGGAGAATGCAAAGATCCTTCAAACCCTGCCAGGAAAGTCTACCTGCTGATTGAAAGCCGTGTTCCCACCAGGCATAGGGAGGCTGGAAGGGGCCACCTGCAGCAGATCCAGGGGTGAGCCCGGGTTCGCACTCTTATTTTCATTTGTGGAATAATTCCACACCAAGGCACTTGGGCAACAGAGAGTGACAGTCTGGAAACAAAGTGGGAAAAATCCAGACATTTAGAGGAAGAGGGCAAGTATAATCATAGCTTAATATAACAATGGTAACTTTTCATAGCTATATTAGTTTTCTCCCCAAGAATTTAAAATGTGAATATGTTTTCCACTCTCAACTTTAAGACAAAACTAAGAATTATAAATTTGAAAGGGAAAGAGTACAGCCAGCCATTGAGAAATTAAAGAATATTATCATTTATTAGCTAATATTTCACCATACAAAATTAAGCTGTCGAACAAGGTTTAAAATCAGACCTATAAAGAGTCTGAAGCATAAGCTATCATGAACTCAACAGCAAGCTATGCGAACTTGGACAGTGACTGTGATAGATCTTTTCTCAAAAATATGAAATTAAATACAAAAAGTAAACTCTGAAGCCTAGCAGGCATCTCTGTGGAGAGCAGATGGCAGATGAGAAGACAGCACATCCCTAAATACCACTAATACATCGGTCTCCACTGGTCCACAACCTACCCGCTTCCTCCTGCCTGGTGGATGTGGGGTTCATGGCTCCTGACCACAATGGAGCCCTTCCCTGAATTCTGAGATAACTCAGCAGCCATAGTGCCTGCCTGGCAAGCATGAGGTCCTAGTTTGACTCCAGGTTGAAAAACAACAAAAACAGAAAGCAAAGTGCCAGCACCCCTCACAGATGCCAAAATCTGCACATACTCAGGACCCTTACATAAAATGCTGCAGTGTTTGCACATAATCTGTGCAATCCTCCTATATACTTTAATAATATCTAACACAATATAAATGCCAGGTAAATAGTTATACTATATTGTTCAGGGAATAGTGACAAGAAAAAAGTCTTTACATGCTCAGAAATTTTTTCTGAGTACTTTTGATCTAGGTTGGCTGAATCCAGAGACATGAACCCATGGACAGAGAGGGCCCACTGTCATCCAACAGTCCAAAATGGACCTCACCTAGAAGCTTCCAAACTGACTTCTTTGCCTACTTCTTCCTCTCTTACCACCACTACCCCCATTAATCTTTCTCCCACTACTGCCAAAACCATCTAACTGAAGTACAACTGACAGTGTCCCTCCCTATATAAAACCCTTTGACTACATCCCAACATAAGGCCTAGGAGACTTCACACTCCAGATTCCATCAAGGCCAACTTGCATACGAGTCTCTGGGCCTTTTCCTGTGTTGTGCTGCTACCAGGAACACCCTTACCATACCTCTTCTTACTTTTTTTTCCTCAGCTCACAACACTTAAAACACATCCCTCAGAAAACCTCCTTGAATTTTAGAATGGGCTGCAAGTTCCCTTCAGCTGCCTTAGCCTCCCGTGCATCTCTCCATCAACCCTTGTCACGGTGCACAGGAGCTGTACATTTGTGACGCTGTCTTCCCAAGAGCACAGAAAGCTCCACCAGAGTAGAGACCACGTCTTCGGAGCCACCCTAGTTTCAAAGGCCCTTATTAAAGAGCCAGAAACACTACAAGCTCAAGAAATGTGAACATTCAACCGTGAACTTCCTCTACAGCAGAGCTGTGTCTCATTCCTGACAGGATGGACCCAGCACTTCACACATTGCTAGATATTGAAGAACTGCAAAAGCAATTGCACCGATAACTACAGTCTGATAAATGATTTAGACTTTAAAGAAACATGAAGAGGCAACCAACTGAAGATGTGAACTGAGGAAATGCTGCCTGAAGAAGCTATCTTTCCAGAATAGTAATAGAGCTGACTTATTCTGTGGGTTCCCTGAAGGATTCCTAATTGAAGTGCTTAATGGCCCTAATAAAGGACAAGCACAATAACTTTCTTCTAGATAGATACAACAAATCTCCTCTCCAATACACAGTAATAAAAAACATAAAATTTCAATATAAATTACTTGGTTAGGGGAAAAACTAGGTTTGTGACATGAAAGCTGAAAGTGCTATTCCCAGCCCAGCTGTTTTCCATAACTGAATCTTAACATAAAAATAACACAGGCCATAAACTTACCTGCAACATACAACTAAGTCCATAAACCAAAGGACCATGCTGTGCACAGGAAAGGAAATCGGAGAAGGCCAGCTGCACTGGGCTCATGCCAGGGCCTGGGGGGCCAGGGCTGGGGGCCCCGATGCTTGAGTTGTTCGGTCCTATCATCATGTGCGGTGAGTGGGCAGCAAGGAGGCTGGGGCTATCGCTCAGCAGGAGGGAAAGACGCCGTGCACAAAAGTAGGCAAGACGACGAGACAGATAGGCCGACTGAACAAACTCATCGGAATACTGAGAAGCAGAAGGACAGCAGACTTCAGTTATGCCTTGTACTTCTCAAGCGACTATTTTAATATACTTTTCTTGCAATCTGCAAAATGCAATCTGCAAAATGTAATCTGCAAAAGCACTACATAGAACAATATGACCAGCATAAACATGATTTGGAATTTTTCAGTATTAAAAAATAGTACAGGCAAATTAATACAACGTGTTGCACTTAGCCCAATATATCCAAAAAGTTATCAACATGTGATCAACATGAAAAGGATTAATAGTGTATACTTTTTCCACACTAAGTCTGAAATATGGTGAGCATGTTACTCCTGGAGCACATCTCCATTCACACTGTCATACTTCAAATGCCCCATGGCCCACCTGGCTACTGGACCAGGCAATGCAGGTACAGACCCTCCCATCCAGATCCTCTTGGGGAGGACATGCAGGACCCTCTTGTGATTCAGCACCTGGGGAAGGCACCAGGATGAGAGAACCACTTGCCACTGGTATGATTTCATGTTGTTTGAATTATCAAATTCAGGAAGTGCACCAAGGTGTCAGAGTGGTAAGCAGCAGAGGAAAAGCTTCTCTGAGGGTCACTGTCCAGACACTGGAATATAGCAACGAGAGGCAGAGAAGGGAGGAAGGAGGTCCCCTGGACTCAGCAAGGATCTGAGGCACGAATTGAAGCCCATGGAGAGAGTGAAGAGAGAAACTTCAATAAAGAAGAATAAGGTAGCCAGCAGCACATTCTCTGAGATGCGACTCACTGTTCAAGAGGAGCAGATGACACCTGCAGACACACAGTGAATGCTGGCACTCCAGAGGTCTCCACAGAAAGACCCAGCAGCAGAGGGGAGCAGTGGATGTGAAGAACTGCACTAGCTGGTGGTGAGTGCTGAGGCTATCTTGGAGAGGGGCCAGCTGAGCTCAGAACTCAGAAAGGCTATCTGCTCAATCTAGCAGCTCTCAGCTGTGCTCAGGCTGGCGGAAGGTATGCTGACAGCTGCAGGCTGAATTGAGTCTGGTCTCAGCCAGAAGGTGCAGGCTTGCTGAGCTAGATCAGCCAGAAAGCTACTGCTGGCTTGCTGGGATAGATCGGCACAAACTGGGACTCTGTCTCCACACGCTGTCTAACAGTGACAGCAGAGATAAACACGAAAGTGGACTTTTTTCTTTTTTTCTCTCTCTTGTTTTTTGTTGTTGTTAAGGTTTTGTTTTTATTTTTTTTTCCTTCAGTGTTTTATCTTGTTTTTAAATGAATGTGAATGTAGTTTCTAGTCTCTTTGTAGTTGTTCTGTTCTTTTTTTTATCTCTTCCTTTCTCTTTCCCTCCAGTCTTCTGCACCAGTTTCCAAAGTTAGCATGATCCGTCTTTGTCCTCCAGCATTATTTCTAATCTCTTCCACTTCTTTCAATTCACTATTTTCTCCCTAACCCATTTTAAACATTAACTCCTGATGGCAAAATTGACATACTAAGGACTTGTACATTGCATACAAATTTCTGGTTTGTTTTAAATTTTGTTATATAACCATAAATTTAGTTCATACAGTTAAAGGTGGCAAATTAATGGTTAGCTCAGTTTGTCATTTTCTAGGTTGTGTTTAAAACTATTATCATTGCTAATGGCCACTACAGCCAAAAGTGACATAACTGTGCTAACCAGCTATTCTTCCTGGTATTCTAAGACTGAGACCAACTAAGGGTAAGAGAAATACTGTAACACAGTGCCAAAGAGCCAGGGACTGGGATAAATATGTAGCAACTTCTCATCCCCAACAAATTGAAGGTGTAGGGTCTTGCAACAGACTCAAAACCCAAAAACCAGCTATACCTGGAAAATACCTACAAGAATTAGTCATTTATTAATGTTTCTAAATACTAGTAATAAAGCAACTCACCAAAGACAATTTATAAGCATCACCCAGGAATTAAACTAAAAAACAAAAAGAAAATGAGAAGACATTTAAACAAGATGCAACCCCAGACATCCAGGTCACCAAAGGCAAACCCAGGGGGCAAAAAGGTGGGACAATCTGAAAGCCACCCACCTGGCCTCTCTGAAGCAGTAACAACAAAACAATTGAATGAGGCTCTAGAAAATATCAAATCAGAAATAATTTCTCAAATAACTGCAGAGATGGTATCCACAATGAAAACCATGCTTAGTGACTCTAGAGCAGATGCAGACAAATAGGAAGGAAGGAAGGAGGGAGAGAGGGAGGGAGGGAGGGAGGGAAGAAGGTAGGAAAAAAAGAAAGAAAGAAAGAAAAAATACAGCAGCTTAAGAAAATTATGGAAGCCATGAATGCTCAGTATAGGAAAGAAATGGAATCTATAAGGTAGATTTAAGCAGATACCCAGGATAATAAAAATTCCAATAAAAGTATTCACAACAGATTAAGGCAATGTGAGGACAGGATCTCACGTAGAGAAGACAAGCTTATGGTTAGGAATCATGAAAAGAAAGATTTCTTAAAAATAGCAAGGGACCATGAGAAATCAATACAACAGCCATTAGATGAGACAAAGAATAACTTAAGATTAACTGGAATCAATAAAAAAGGAGATAGCACAAATGACATAAAAAACTGTTCATAGACATCATGCAGAAAACTTCCCCAGTAGAGAAAAAGAATTTGACATACACTAAGTGATGCATATAGAAATCCTATTAGCCAAGATCAAAAAAAAAATCTACAGCCAGGCATATCATAGTCAAGATTTCAGAAACTCAACACAAGAATAGAATCTTATACTGTTTGATCAGTTTTGCAGGCTTATATCTGGTAATCTGAGCAATTACTCTGAAGATAACCATATGCAATATAATAACCACTATTAATTTCCTATCATCTTATTTTGAAATTCTGTATCATTTTTATTGTATTTTTTTCTCTTTAAAATAAAAATAGCTGGGCGTGGTGGCACACACCTGTAATCCCAGCACTCAGGAGGCTGAGACAGGAGGATTGTTGCTAATTCAAGACCAGTCTGAGCTACAAAGTGAGCTCAAGGCCAGCCTAAACTTCATAGCAAGATCCTATCTCAAAAAGACAAGAAAAAAAAAAATAGAGAAGAATAGAATCTTAAAAGCTGTTAGGGAAAATAAACAAATCACCTATAAAGCCCATCAAAATCACAGCTGACTTCTCAGCACAAACCCTCTAGTCAAGGCAAGTTTGGAGTGAAGTATTTCAAGTTCTAAAGGAAAACAATCTTCAACCTTGACTGATGTACCCAGCAAAACTATCTTTCAAAACTGAAGGAGAAATAAGATACTTCCATGACAAAGAATATCTGAGGAAATTTATGAGCACCAAGCCAGCACTCCAAAATGTTCTGAAGGGCAGTCTAGAAAGAGATAACAAGGATTACAACTCCATGAATAAAAAAAGAAGGAATCCACCAGGCAAGACAAACAATTAAACAGAGAAAGGGGAAAAAGAGGGAGAACCAGCAACAGGAAAATAACATGACAAGGATAAGTCAATACATATCCATTAAAATCACCAATGTGAATGGTCTGAAGTCACCAATCAAAAGACACAGACTGGCAGAATGGATCAAGAAGCAAGACCCAGCAATATGCTGCATACAAGAACACATTTTAATTTAATAAAAACAAATTTATAGACTGAAAGTCAAAGGATGGAAAACAATACTTCATGTGACAAGAACCCCTATTTGTAGACAAAGTGAATTTCAGGCCAAGACTGATTAAGAGATACAAAGAAGATCACTACATCCTTACAAAAGGGACAATCCAAGAGGAAGAGATAGCAGTCATAAATATATATGCAACAAATACTAGTGCACCCAACTATATAAAACAAATATAAATGGGTATGAAACATCAAACAAGCAACAGTAACAACTGCATTGGGGGATCTCAATGCCCCACTATCACAAAATGTCCAATCAACTACACAAAACGTCAACAATGAAATATTAGAACGGAACCAAACTTTTGAACAAAGGGACTTAGTAGATATCTACAGAGTGTTCTACCCCACAACATCCAAATACACATTCTTCACAAGACATTCTCCAAAACAGACCACATGTGAGCTCACAGAGCATGCTTAAGTAAATGCAAAGGAACTGAAGTTATCCCATGCATATTATCAGACCATAGTGCAATGAAATTGGAAATCAATGGCAAAAGAAACCACAAGAACTTCATAAACACATGGAAATTAAATGCACCCCTCCTGAACAAACAATGGGTCACAGATGAAATTAAAGAAGAAATCAAACAGCTTCTACAATTAAATGAAAACAACAATACAACATACCAGAACTTATGGGACATAATGAAAGCAGTCCTAAGAGGGAAATTTATATCAGGAAAAAAGAGCAAGCACAAATAAACAACTTCGCGATGCACCTCAAACTTCTAGAAAAAGAAGAGAAGGCTAAGTCACAAGCTCAAACAAGGAAAAAAAATTAGAGATCAGAGCAGAAATTAACACACTGGAGACTAAAAAAAAAAATACAAAGAATCAATGAATCAAAGAGTTGGCTCTTTGAAAGATTAAATAAAATCAACAAACCCTTATCTAATCTTATCCAAAAAAGGAAAGAAAAGACTCAAATCCATGCAATTAGGAATGAAAAGGGTGAAATCACAGCAGTTCCTGCACAAATCCAGATTATCTATACGTACTTTGAAAACTTATATTCTACTAAGATGGAAAATGAATTATCAAATTCATGTATTACTTTTATATGAAAGAAATTTAAATCTTACCCAGATAACCTAAATTTTAATAGATCTTAGACAAATCATGAATATAAGAAGTTTCCTTCCTCAGAGATACAAACAATTATCAAAAAGAATGTAGAAGATTCTTTATATTTTTCAAAAGAGGTGATTTGCTTTCACAGTTATCTGTGTGAGTGGAGAGACAATATTTAAGGAGCTATTTGCTTAGCTCAGATGTAAAAGAATTCAACATGGGTGAGATTCCATGTAGATAAAAACTATGAACTGTGGTAGCATCAAGACATCCTTTTCATGCCATTTCAAGAAGATTATTTTCTACTTCTATCTTTATTATCTAATTATTCTTACCAGGTTAATCTCTTGCCTGTAAAGCCAACTGGCTCAAGGTGACATGTACTGTACCTGTAGCATTAGTGGTAACAAGAGTTTAAGAAGATCGTCGTCCATTGGTCTGATCTTTTCCAAAACATCCAAGATCCATGTCAAATATTCATGCTTCTCTAACATCCCTTCCTTAAATGAACAAACAAAAATTACAACAATATTATTAAAAAGTCAGCTTTCTAAAGGCATTGTGACCCTTATGCATAAATGTAATTTTACTATTATTTTATTGTTATACTGAAACATGGTCTTATGACAGTCTAATTTCTGAACAAAATGAACTGGAGTTTTTTGGTATGTTTGTTGTAGGATTTTGTCTTTAGTTTTTGATAGTCTGCTCCACTCTAAATTGAAAATAAATGGGAATGCATAGCTTTCACACTCCTTGGACATATGTAGCCTCTGGAGGGATTTTGGCAGAGCACGAACTGATATTCAAGGGATGAATCTTAGCTACTAGTGACAGTTACTAAGAAAAAAAGCCTTGCTCTTATCATCATCTCAACAAAGGTTTGAAAATCCCACCAGACCCGGTGTCCCCCATAGCCACCTTTCCTGCCCTAAAGTGACTCTTAGATACTCCAGCCTATCTACAAATATACACACTTCAGAATCAATACAATGACCTGTTATATAAAGACATGGAAAAAATTTATAATGAAGTAATGTGTAGATAACCCAACATGGCTACACTACAAACTAAAATCATCTTCACAAATATACAAAATGTCCCACAAGGAAGGTATAGCTCCTCTAGAGAACATTACCTTTATTTTTTCCCTTGGTGCTAGGGTGGAACCCAGAGCCTCGCATTTGCTTGCTAATTGCCTCTACCACTGTGTTACAGCCCCACAAGACAACTAATATTGACATAAACACTACAGTGAATCTCCAATTTATCAACAAGTTCCACTCCAGGAGAACTTTTGTAAGTCAAATTCATTCCTAATGACAAAGTGAGTCATATACACCTTTGATACAAATACACAATGTAAAGCATAAAAAACCAAACACACAAAAATACTGTAAATAAGGTATTTTTACTTTTACAGTTACCGTAAAGTGGCAGCACAGTACAGTACAACTGGCCTATAGCAGATAACACTGATCAAACTGATAAGGAGAGTTACACACTGGAGGAGGAGGGCAGGTGGAGACAGTGGAGCTGAATGACCATCAGCAACAGGAGGCAGAGGGCAAGATGGCCATTAGATCACACTTGATGGGGATGGCACGTGTTTCTGAGGGATTCAATTTTGTCTGCCCTCTTGAAAAATGACCCAGTGATGTCTGAGTAGTAACGTTTTTTTTCTCATCATAGATGATTCTAGCACTGGATGCCATCCTGAACAGCTGCTGCAACCTTTGTGTATTATTCTACACGGGGGCCCTGTGTGTCAAAGACAGTGCTCCTTCAAGGAAAGAAAATCCCCTTGTCATTTCCTGTGTTGCAAATCTCTCCGGTTCTTCAGTGACATCTTCCTCTTGGCTCTTTTCATCTTTCTGCTGGGCCTCTAATTCCATCAGGTCCCCATTAGTAAGCTCCTCGTTACATAACAAAGAGTTCAATGAGGTCATCCCCTTGCAGATCTAGCACCAGCTTCTTGCTAAGGGTCAAGTTGCTGAAGACCTCTTTGGTCTCCTTACCCATCTGCTAAAGTCCATGAACTTCAAAAACAAATTGTGAGCTAAGGTTCTTCCAAACCACATTCATGGGTGGAGACAGCTGAAACCTCACAGTAAGCAAAGATAACATCTTTTATGCCCTTGTAGATGTTATAGTCCTTCCAAAAGTGTCACAAGGCTACTCTTATTCCAGCAGTTGTGAAAACTGTGATGCAAATACTATTTCTTGAAAGTCGCAATAACTCCACAGAATTTGTATGAGTGCTATAGATTGGGGGTGACCTAGTAGACTGTCAAGCAGCAAAAGAACATTGAATGGCATATCTTCCTCCCAACAATATGTATTTCTCTACCTCTGGGATAAACTGGTGGAAAAAATAGTCCTGAAAAATGGCCTGTGTGACCCAAGTTTTAGAGTTATTCTTCCATACGACCTTAGAGTGCCCCTGGCTATGTTTTTGAGGGTTCTCTGAATCGAAAATGAAGGGAGGCCTTAGCTTCACATCACTGGAAGCACTGTCACAGAACAGCAGAGTAAGTCTATCCTTTGCTGCCTCCAACTTTTCCTTGTCTGATGTAACCTCACGCTGGCATCCCCTTCCACTCAGGGCAGTACTGCCTCACTGACATTAAAAAATCTATTGGGGTAAATGAGCACCTTCATCAATCATTTCTCTAAGTGTTGCTGGAAAGTCTTGAGCAGCTACAGTGTCTGCACTCACAGCCTCACCCCTTTCCCAATGTAAAGGTTGGCTCCAGCCTTGAACCGTTAAACCACCCATCACTGGCCATAAAAGATGCGCTCTGCTCACCTCATTTTTTCCTGCAAGTCTTCATATAGGCCTTTAACTTTTTCTTGAAAAAAGGATTAATTTGAGTGGGACTCGACACTGATGCCGATCCTGCACCCACACAATGAGAATCTCTCCATCTCCTCTATCACTTTACCACAATTTTTGGGTATTATTGTTGACCTCAATGGCACAGCAGACTTCACATGTTCCATGATCTTGTCTTTGTGCTTCAAAATCCCGCCAGTGGCTGAACAATTCATGTTATAAAAATGAGTGATGTCTACTATTTTTATACCTTGGCCTAATCTCTCAATTATGCTCACCTTTGTTCCCATGGTTATTGCTCTGCACTTCTTAGCAGGCCCCTCCACATCATCACTGCTCTTCCTCTTGGCTCCAGCCGCCCTGGCTCTGACTGAGCACTATACTACTATACACTACTGCACTGTACAGTAAGGACACGGCAGCACAACTGCGTTATGCGAGGTCTGTTCATAATGTTTCTGCGAACTTTCACAATGTGAATGTTCGTAAGTCAGGGACTTACTGTACAAACATCTTTCGTCTACTGCCTTCATATGCATAAACATAAACACACATACACAAATGCATTCTCTTCTGACACTGTATGCATACATTGGATGTCATATAATAGCTTTTTATTATGACTCAATGAAAGAATCTTCAAATTAGAAACAAAAGGCTATGTTTTCTGGAAAAGACACTTAGAACTTTATAGTTATTACAGTAACAAACTTAGTAGTTAAGGCAAAACCTTACTATATTCCTAGTAATTCCTTAAGTATCACCAGTGATCTACTACAGTTGTTACCAAGGATTTGTGTGCAAATATATTTTTATTAGTGCATTCTGCAGTACATGCAGTTTATGATCACCTTGGGGAGTTGGTATAGGTACCTAATATAGCTTGTTCCTTTTCTTTAATTCTCTCTTCTTCCCTTCCACGTCCCTCCCTTCTCCCTAAATCCTGTTTCGCCATTTTCATGCTTCTCAATATTATTAATCTTAGCTGATGTTTATGACATAAATGCCTGGTGTGGTGGCACATGCCCGCAGCCCCAGCACTTGGGAGGCTGAGGAAGGAAGATCACCATGAGTTTGAGGCCAGTCTGATCTACATAGTGAGACCCTGTCTCAAAAAAAAAAAAAAAAAAATTATGTTTATGATATATAATGCTGACATTCATTGGGATTATCAGGTCCTGACACACGGGATATCTTTGTTCTACTTATTTCCCCCTCCCATCTGTCACTTAGACCCCTTCCTGCTTGCTTGTGTGAAAATCTCACATTGATAAACTCTATGTGCCATATTTAAAAGATTATAGTGACAACATGTTTGATATGACACACAGGTATTTACCACTTAATTTCTAGTTTTCAAGATACTACAAGTCAGAAAGGGTAATAAGATTAGTCTCAGAAAAGGTACAATTTAAAATTTTAAAACAGTAAACTTTAATAAAAAATACATTTGTCAATTTAAATAAATGTGTTTAAAATAAGAAAATGAGGGTTTTGCATTAAGTGTAAGAAATGGTAAACACAAGGCTCGAAAAAATGCTTTTACAAAAAGCACCTTCGCAGCCCCAACAGCTCCGCTCCAGATGCTTCTGCTTGTGTGCGCTGACCCTGTTTCTGCCCCGTGTGCCTAAGGTGTGCGCTGCACAGTTCAAGAATATGCCAGATTGAAACACAGTGAACTTTCTCAATTCGATATTGTTTCAATTATGTTTATCACTTTAGGATCTAGTTGTTTTCTCTAAAAGAAAAATCTGATTTCACTGTTCCTGATAATATGAAGCAATCCTTCCAAAAATATTAAACATGCTGAGACAGCTTTTTCAAGATGCAGACTAACTTCTCAGCTCAGTAAAATTACTGAAAGTTCAGGGCAGGCACTGAAGTCGGCCTATTCTAAACAAAACTAGGATTTGTAACAGTTGCTTTTATTGACTTAAAAATACTACTATTTCACGTAAGGATCACACTTTTTCCTACTATGAGCTCTCGAAAAAAGTGTTACCCCACAGATATTATAATGAAGGTTCCAAAGGGAAAATTTAGAAACCACACTTTCTCTTCCTCAGATTAATACAGCAGGTACCAAAAGTCTTTGCTAATAATATGGCTTTAGCGAAACATACTTCTTCCACCTTGACACTAATAAAGATTGAGGCAAAGAACACCACAAGCGCCCTCTTCTGGTCAGTATGATTTGCATCACCTTGCCTGGGTAAGCGCTGTCATTTTTCAGTGCCCTAAAGCCTCCCCTCAAGTTTGCATTGTAAACTACAGCTGAACCAAATTAAGGTGACCTTTCTGTGAAATAATTCAACTCTAAAGCAGATATAAGATAGGTGGCTTCACCAAAGGATGTTATTTCCTAAATTTACCCAAATTGTGTAAAATACAGGGTATAAGATTATATTTACTAGCACAATTACAAAGTAATTGATGGCACTGAAGAGCTGACAGCATTGAAAGCTGCATATGTATAATACGGTGTCACCTCAAGGCAATTGTGCTACCTTAAATGCAATGCGACAAAAGGAGATTGCTTTCTCTGAATGTATCGGTTCATATAAAGATAGAATTTAACCCCCAGAAAACACATCTGAGACACCAGCATAATGTTTTCATCAATGAAAGACTGCACATACAGCGGGTATACACGGTACCAGCTAGCATGCAGTGAGCTGTACCACCTAGGTCTACGGAAACACACTCTCTGACGTTCCTACAGTGATGAAATTGCCTAGTGACACATTTCTCAGAACATACGCCTGTCATTAAGCAAGAAATGACTACAGAATTTGCTTTTTTGGGGGGCTGGGGATTTAGCTCAGCGGCACAGTGCCTGCCTGGCAAGCGCAAGGTCATGAGTTCGATTCCCAGTACTAGGAAAAAAAAAAGAAAAAAAAAGAAAAGAATTTGCTCTTTTTCAAAGCATAACACACAGCCTTGCATGACTTGCAAAGATTACCTGAAACATGTGAAATGCCAGCTTCTCATTATACTCCCATTGCTTCATGGCTTGCTCCACCTCCGGTGGTACAGGGATAGGGCCATCACTTGTGCTGGAGGCCACATGGTAGAAGTCAGAAATCTTGGCCAACTGCTCTCGAAGGTATCTGGTAGATATTTGTGTCCACTCTACATTTAAACAAAAACATCCTGAAATCTAGACACAGTGGTAGAATTATACTTTTTCTCTCCCCTTTTGATTACTTTGAGTATGTACTCACAATGTTTATCACATGCACATTTCTGCACAGGACAGTGATGTTCAGAAGAGAACTCCATTCCAAAGCCCTTACATGCTGCACACTAGTGCAAACTGTCTGGCACTACGTGAGCCAGAACATGTCCTGGCCAGTTCTTAGAGGAAACAAACTATTCTATACCTGTGCTTCTGCGACACTTCACCTATGAGAAGAGATGTCCACACCTGAATTCCATCAATCTGACAATCTTCCACGTTAAACAACAGCATGATATAAATATGGAAGCTATCGCAGAGAAAAACACTTCCAAGAAATCTCAGTTCTAAAGAAAAAGAAGGCAAAATCCCCCAAGTACAGCTCTCCTGGAGTCCATTCTTTAGGGTCCAAGACAAGTTGTAAACACATCTAATCCTTGTTCTGTGTTCTGCCCAATCCGTAAGGGGGCCGAGCCCCACCACAGACTGCACCATGAATAAAAGCTCTCCGTCCTGCACTTCCCCCGGGATGGGCCCGGGACACAGGGCAGCTGCTCCCTGGCTCAACCACCTGGTCTTTCAATTATGTTATGCTCTTCAACCAGCACCGACGCCTGAGGACTCAGCAAGGTTGGAGACAGACAAACGGAGGAGACAGCAGGTGGGAAAGGAAGTAGAAAAAGTAGCAGAGAAAAAAGTGACTAAAATTATTCAAAAAATGTCTGCCACAGGGGCACAAATTAAATCAGCGTGTTGCCTCTAGCAACCACGAGGGACGTGGATGTGATGCCAGCTTTAGCCCATTCTGTGGATAAAAATGTAATAATTGAAAGCTCACAGCCAATTTTTCCCGATGATTAGCAAAAATGCATTTGAAAAGAAGCCATCTTAGGGCAACCCCACCACACAATGCTGTTCTCCCATTATTTGGCCATAAACCCTCACAAATGTTAAGAGCAGAAACTAAGTGACCATTACTTACTATTAAAATTACCTGACAATAGTACCCAGTGACAACTGTTAAGCTTTGGTCTAAATCACTTGTTAACTGTGTCTTAGTTAAAATTAAATTTTAAATGCACGCCAAAAGTGTTAAACTCCAACAAACAAACTAATGCAAAAAGTTGAGCAGATACTACATAATAATTTTTCAGAAAGCACCACTGATTACAGATATCATCATTAAAAATGATGCACTGAAAACAGTACACATCACTGTCATCATCTTTTGGTGCTCATGTTATAACTAACGGTCTCACGCCACTCACTTGTTCAACTAAACAAAATACCAACCACCAGATGAGACAAGCTTAGTTTAGCTATAATTAACAAAAATAAAAATAACAAGGATCCAAATCCTAGCTGTTGTATGCCAAGCTTTGCTATTAACTTGCTCTCAGTATGATACTATTCTCAATATCCCTATAGAATATTTTAGCCTCGAAAATTAAAAATAACACACATTTGCATATGCCCGCTTTGTCTAGGGTTTATCTTCTTTTTCAGATTTTTTAGAAATGTAGGAGAATGCATGCTCATGATAGAGAAGATAATGAACATACAAAAACAAAAACCCTTTGTAATCCCATTACACACAATAAATATTCGAATATTCATTCAGAGATGTCCCTCAGGACCCACAATGAACTGGTTCCAGAATCCCCTGAAGGTAACAAAATTCACAAATGCTTAAGTCCCTTGTGTAAAATGGAGCAGTATTTGCATAAAACCTAAGCACATCCTCTGTATATTTTAAATCATCTCTAGATCACTTACAATACCAAATACAATGTAAATGTTATGTAAATAGTTGTTATATTGCACTGGTTGGGGAATAATGACAAGAAAAAAATCTGTGTGTTCAGTACAGACGTAATTTTTTTTCTGAAAACTTTCCTCCCATGGTGGTTTGATCCATAGATTCAAAATCCACAGATAGAGGGCCACCTATATCTTTCTATCTTTTTGCCTTTATGTGTAGTTAACTGTTTTATAAACATTGCGCATCCTGTTTTAAAAAATTACTGGATATAGAATTTCACAATCTGAACTCCCTTTGGGAATTAGTAAAGCTCTTTCAGCATTGTGCTTTAACTGTAATTAACTGGCACTAAATTATCACACCAATCAGATCAGGGTCTAGAACAGAAGACATGGGGCAGATTAAGATTAAAAAATTAGGATGCACATAAAATTCTAATTAAAAACTGAAAACAAAAACCAATACATGGCCATCACTCTATACTCCCGGCACTTATTAAGAAGCACAGCATGGTGAGGACACGCAGTGCAAGGGGCCGTAAGGGCAGTGGCAAGATGGGCCGCTCTGAACACAGCAGCTTCTCAGCCCTGAGGGCACGACACAGCCTTAGGGGCTGGCTGCCTAGGGCCCCACCCTGAAACTTTCTGAAGTGACTGGTCTGGATCAAGGATGCAGTTTCAGGAGATTAAAAAAAATAAAATAAAAAACAGTAAGAGTGGATAAAGATCGTCGGAAAGATGTGGAGAGAGAAACACCGTCCCAAAGCAGAAAGTGATTAAGGTGGCTACTCTTACTCTAAAAGGTCAGTATATTCAAGCAATCTGGAAGATATGGCCACATCTGTAGTTTGTTAGTGCCAAGAAGCAATTAAGTCCCATGAACCTAGATTATTAGAAAGCTTATGAACATGACTATTACCAAGACTGGTGTGAGCAGTCAGAATTGAAAAGAATAATAGGATTGTTTTGTAATGTTCTCCCTTGTATCCCAGAACTCCAAGGCCAGAATTCCTGCCTTGCTGATAAATAACGCTAAGAACAGAAGGTACCATGGAAGGGGTCTAGGGGTCATGCAGTCCATCTACCACTTTACAAACACGTTTGCTCAGAAATGGTCAGCTAGAATGGCACAAAAACAGGTGTGAGATGCCCCTCTTTGGGACATGAAGACATCCCATAGATGAGTAAGAACTGAGACACGCTCTATTAAAGAAGGTCCTCCCAGCCTCCACAGCCTACATCAGAAACAGAGCTGGGAGCTCAGCAGAAGAGGAACGCTCATTCTGGAAGCAAATAATGCCAAAAGCAACAAGGCTCACAGAGGTGCCCTGGCCATGTGATATCACCAGAGATGCCACACAGGGCACTGAGAGAATGGGATCTGAAACAGTACTGCTCTGGGGTCCAAATCCCAGCTCTGATAGTCCTAGTTTTGGAGCAAGGTTCTCAGCTTCTGCTAAATTTAAATTTCCTTTTCTGCAAAATGCGGATTAATAACACATACACCTCAGAATTACTGTAAGGGTGAGTCACTGAGCACAGTGCATGCAAAACAGAAATCAATCCTTATGTGGAAGATATTGCTGTTAGTGTCAATATGAAATGTTTTTAGAAAGGAAACCCAAGTTGGACCTTGGTTGACAGTGGACGGCACCAGCTCTCACTGACATCAGACTTGCCTCTGCCTCAGCTGAGTCAGGATCTAACACCTAATGTGATACCTAGCAATGCAAAGCAAAACCAAACAAGCTATCCCTAGGAGTCGGTATTTACTGAATGAATCACTGTTGGCTTCATGGCTCAAAAACCTTCAGTGAATCCACATCCTTAACAGAGTAAAGCCAAAATCTGAATCATTTTAAACACTATCTACCATCACTAACGTAACTATACTAGCTCAAGCTGCCCTGGTGCTCAGGGTGCTCTCTCTACCCAAAATGCCTTCTCTCCTCATCTGTATTCACAGACATAAATTTTTCTGGACCCAATTATAATGTCACATCCAATATGTACCTTTGTCTAGTTTCTGGATACCACCCCAACATCTAGCAAGGATCTGCCCCCCTTTTCTGATATTAGAATTCCCTCCATATTTTTATCCATGTCTTAAACAGATAGTCAACATAAAAGTCTTGACTTCAATTAGTTCATCATAAGGTCCTCCCAAAATAAATAGCAGCTCAAGTTCCTTCCTAATTATTCAGCCTTTCAACTCTCAGAACAATCTTTTTTCCTCTGTGGTTTAAACTCACTACACAACTACAAGGTCTCAAACACTCCTACGAGTGGAATTTACTACACTAAATTCCTCAATAGTTTTCATTAGAATTAAAGTACCTGTCAATCAACAGGCTGCAAAAGGTCACCACAAAAACTGTGCTTTTCCATTATTTAATAAACTTCCTTGTAAATGTGTATATATACTTCTTAATTTTTGAAGGCTCATCTCCCTGGTTACAGTCATTTTTTTTTTATCAATGCCAGTGGGAACTCCAGGTGGGTTCCTTAAAAACAAAGCAAAGCAAAACAAAACCCAGACACTTCCAGGGACCGAGAAGCACTGTTTCCTCCGGTGTTCCACCTGACAGTACACTGTGTGAGAAGTGACAGGTTTCTCACTGGGAAAACTCATCTGCTTGGAAATTCTTCCCTAAGCTTCACAGCTACAATGAAAAGTTCCTGCCTCTTCAACCTGGACAGCTTGCTTTTCCAAACTTCAGGACATAGAAGATTTAAGTATCCTGACCCCACCACAGACTGGACAGAATAAATCAAGTTCAGCACGTGTAAGCTGCTCCATGCTCCCTTCTGACACAGCACAGAGGACTGAGGGCTCCTATAGTACCTGTCACATTTCCTGTTTGAAAATGCTTTCTTGGTGGAAGGGAGCCCTAAGTAAAGTAAAAAGACAACCAACAAATTGGGAGAGGTATTGAAAGTCACATATTTGGTAAGGGACTTGGATTTAGAATATATAATGAATAATTACAACTCAATGAGGAGAGAGCTCAATTTTAAAATGGGCAAATTATCAAAATAAACAGTTCTCCATATAAAATAGACACTATAAACACACTCAAGTATGTTCAATATTGTCAACCACCAGAGAAATGGAAATCAAAGCCATATAAGGTATCACTAAGGTAGCTATAATTTAGGAGAAAAAAAGGAGTAACAGGAAATGGGGAAAATA